CCATAACGACAACTACATAATGCATAGTATTACAATTCGACAAGATTTTGTAAAATTTATTCATGAACAATGAAAGATGAAATACTTCACATTTTGAGAAAGTTATCATTTTCCAAATTCTGTAAAATTTTGCCAAATTATAGCATGACTATGCCCCATGTGATTATCATTAGAAACATGGAAACAAAGAGGAGTTTGATAGCACTACTATCTTATTGATTTCTGAATTTTAATTATTCATAGAACGATATGAGATAAAAGCGTTCCAAAAATTGACCGTGAAATCTTACTTATTCGCGATGGAGGAGTGGATGTCAAGGTTAAATCATGCTTCATACCACTGATCAATAAGCGCGGGTTAATACTTCACAGCGTTTCGCATGTCTAATTATGTGTCTTGTGTGTGTGGGTGATGCTTTTTTTTAAAAAAAAAAAAAAAAAAAACATACAAACAATAAATCGCCGAGGAAAAGGTTGGATATGATTGACTAGAGGCAAACATACCGAATAAATACTCTACTGCACAGACAGTAAATGTAATCATCGGGATCGGAGGACTCCTGATCCGCGATGTAGATTTCGGCTAAGGGTTCCCAAAAGTTATCGCACATCCCGAAGACGGGGATCCTCTCAGTCTACCACGTTATCGTCAATCGTCACAAATGCGACATGCCTCCTCATGCCCGAATTTTCACGACCACCGCCGCGCGAAAACAATCCACCAATTTCTTTGACGATACAGCATCGCGAGGTTGATTAATCTCTGGCAGGCCTGTCTGACTTAAAGTCTATTCATACGGATGTAATATTAGTTATGTACATATAAGAAAAATCTACCAATCAATGAACGCAACATCCTTTAAATTAGACATATGATTAATCGATTTCTCTCAATATACATTATGTGATCATGCAAGAGTTTAGGCCTTTAGTATTTTACTTCTCGTAAAACAGATGTCGTACGTGATTGGTTGTTAGCGCGATTATAACTGATGTCTGGATAAACCTTTAGCTTTGTGCAATATTTTGTATTACAACCATGTCGTTTATCGCAATAGTATCGACGATCGGTTATGTCAAAGTTTTCCCATCGAATCGTGAAACTTTACAAAGAAGGCGGGCTATCTTTAATAGTATTTTGTCTATGTTTGATTATTATTTTTTTATTCCGTAATGTTGGTTACAGAGCATTCATGCATTTTTATATACGACTTTTTTCAAATTGTCGCTTATAAAATTTTTACTCTTTAATAATTTTTCGTAGAGATACAACAACCATAAGAGATTAATCAAATGTAATATTTTTAAATCGATAGAAACTATATCAATTTTTCTATAACTGCATACGGTAAGTTTTTCGCTCATGAGAATATTTAACAAATGTATTCATATATTGATCCGTACATTAGCGGACATTTATATATTTTAACGCAAATAATTTGCGATTTTTTAAGCATTGATTTGTGATACGAAAGTAATTTCGATAATATAAGATGGAAATTATCGACGTACACGAAATTTTTACCGGAACCTGGCGCCATCTGAAGCAACCTTTCAATTTCATGTACTAGTCCGTTTCTTTTTGAAGTACACGCCATACGTTTCTCCTCCAGTCTCCTTCTTAAAAATTTAGTGAAAGTGTATATCCCATGCAAAAATAATGTGTTTCTTGTTTCGTAAACGTCGAGTAAAGCATCAATGAATGTTACAAGAAGAAAAACACGATTAAGCTTGGATGCGTATGTAATTTTCATTATGTTAACTTTTTCGGTACAGCGGGTACTTGTCGGCATATATCATCTTGAATTTGAAATTGTCGATTATAGTCGACGCGCGTTGGCGGTTGCCAGTGTTAGTCGATTATCGTATATCAAAAAGGTTAAAATAACGATTATCTTTCGAAATTTTTAATTCCGCCAAATGCTTGAAGCAATATATCCAGTAATCGTTAAATGTATAACATTTATATCATATACATTTAGAAAGATATTATACACATTATATAATCGTGTGTGTGTGTGCGTGTGTGTTATTATTATCGTTATTATATAAAAACATCTTCACGTAATGAATTTAATTATGTGTTTTTTTGTTACAGATAAAAGATATGCCCAACGAAAATTTATATAGTGATGCCGATTATTTGATCTAGTATCTGTACATTGATGCAAAGATGCAACGCACAAACGAGAAAATTATTTGCTTGCAATACCCGACAGATAACGCTATCTTGCGGGATGCTGCAAAGTCTCGCTCGCGTGAACGGAGCAATGGCGTAGGCGGTGATCCATGTGATAAATTAATTTTTATTACTTCGTGGGTGGCGGCTCTTTCTATTGGTCGCTGATCGGGTACCTCCTACTTCGCACAATGCATCGGGACCCTCTCCAGCTTTATTCTGCGCAACGACGGTGATAGAACGGCATACCATTTGTCTCGTCTTAAGACGAAGCAAAACTCAACGAGGGAACCAATCGCGATATTGCCGCGCAGATTGGGAATTGCATGCGGCGGCGACCGGCTGGGACGGATATTCATGCAAGGGTGTATTACACAGGTATTTCTCCGCATGAACCGGTGAGTCACGCATGATTAAATTTATTTATGCGATTGCCCGTGCACAAAATTTACGATCAATCGGAGCGTTAACGATATTTAACGTGCCTCGGGTACAACCGTAAGAGGAATAGCAAGAAAAGCAAGCTTAATACCCATTGCGAAAAGTTGATAGTATATAATTATTGTTATAGTTAATAATTGTGTGTATGTAGAAACTATATTATATTATATTATAATATATTATTCAAACGAATATTTGTGAATCAATTAGAAAATCAGAAATATGCATTATTAATTTACATTCACGAGGGTGACAGTCAAGCCCGTATTCTTTAAAACAATGCATCTGGAAAATAATAAAAAAGATACGCTTGAATTATACGCATTTTCCAATGTATATTCAAACTATTGACACGCATTGAAATCACCAAGCAACCCGTGTCTCATACATTGTTCGTATTTCCTTTCACATGTAGTCTCTTGTTAATGGCCAGTAATTATGTTATGATTATTATGCAAACCTCCTTCAGATATTTGATCTGATAAGATACATACATATATATATAATTTCATACAATAATTTTAAATATATTACACATTAACTTGTTAACTTATATCAGCTTGTGTTAAAATAATATATAACAAAGCAAAAAAATCTGTCGTATTAAGAAAAGAATTGCATTCAGATTTTATGATAGGCGTTGTTCTAAGTTATAATAACAAATACACAGAATTTATATTTTTAGATCTGCATATATAAATTTTAAAGAATAACGGAAGATATAAAAGATTAGAAAGATTGACTTATAACAATATTTCGTAACTGTATTTGTGATCATAGCGTGAACATTTGCAGTTTCAAGTTGCTGTAATCGCCATTGCGTTTACTCAAAGCCGCACCTGTAGTAGCCGGCTGTATAGTATAGGCCATGCGGAAAAAAGATGCATAAGCAATAAAGTACCCTAGTATACGATGTGGTAGTGCTTTCTTCGATTACATTTACGAGGTGGCTGACTGCTAAAGTTACGCGAATCACCGTTAAACGTTACAGTACACGCTATGTTTTACAGCGTCAACGCAATTCCTGTATCTCTAACTTTACTCTCCTTTGATTTATTCTAATAAGATAAACTTGTCCGATTATTTCGCCGAAAACTTAAGTAAATATCTGGTTTTATCAGAATTTGTAGTATTTTCCCTTTCGAGATTGGCAAATAAAAAAAAATTGTGGACACGATTATCACGGATTGACGAGATGATTCTTTTAACATCTCAAAAGATGATATTTTAATAGAATAAAATTAACTTTGTATCACGATATAAACATGATTACAGAATCATATAATTCAGGTTCAGGTTAAAATAGTGATCCATGAGAAGGTGAAAACTACACAAATATATTTAAAAAAAAATTTAGTCATACATTTTTTAATATTAGCTTGGAAATTTTTTTTCTACTTGAAACAAAATTAATTTCTACAGTTATTTTTATCATGATTTACGTATTATCTTGTGAATATTTAGAGAACTATGCATACTACGTATCGTTTGATTATAATCTTATTCATGATTATCTATTTATCGATTACTATCGAATATTATCGCAGATAAGAGATTAATAGAACATCAGTAAGCCTCGTCATTAAAATGATTACTGTAGATTTCACTTTGTTTTCCAATTAATCATCAAATACCAGTTTGAAGACTCAATTTAGTAATACTATCAATATGTAAAATATTATAAAATAGTTTCACGATTTATTTTATTTTCGATTTGAGACTTTGGTATGTCACCGATCTAAACGATGTTTCTTAATTTTTATACACATTCTCTTATGATTCTCTTAATCGCGGCATCGCGCGGTGAGTCAATGTTCTCTGCGGTTAAAAAATTTAGCGATTCTGTAATTTTCCAACAGAATCGCGCAGCATTATAGAGCGAAATAGAATTCTCTGTCGCGAATCTGCATAAGATACCGCTGGATCGAGCAAAGGAGGGCTGTGTATGGAATTAGAGGGGGAGGGAAGCGTGCATACGTGTGTCGTCTCTTCGGTCGCGGGAGAATCGCGGCTCCTCGCGAGAGGATCAGGTTGTAACTGGATGGTGGTGGAGAGAGACGAACGCAAGGCGGATAGACGGCGTGAGACAAAGTAAGTACGAAACGAACAGCTGGAATGACGGAGAGGAACGAACGCGCGAACGAGCGAGAGGGAAACAGCTGTACCGTGTTACCTCCACCGTAATGCAGAGACGGATGCTGCGTTGAGTCCATGAGAAATAGTGGGGGAAAAAGAAAGAGAGGGGTGGGAGAGAGACAGATGGAAGAAGCAAGAGCGAAGCAGTGAGGAAGAGACGAGCGTGAGAGAGATCGGCCGACGAGGTGTGACGAAGACGGCGTGCTCGCAAGAAGGCCGCAGTAGTCCTTCTCAGCTGGCTAGGTGAGATAAGGATGAGACGGACAAACGGATTGACGAAGGTGCCTAAGGTAGGGGATACTCAGTCTGGCGGCCACGTGCTACACGAGCGCACGCCCCGAGCCGGCCGGCGGTCCAGCCAGCCATCCACGACGCCGTCCTCTTCTTCTTCATCCCCGTATCATCCCGCGCGTTTTCTCCCGTTCCTCCCAACCATCCCATCAGTTTATTCGTCTCTTTTTGTTGAACTTGTGACGGAAATCGTCGAAAAGTCGCGCGACGTAGTTTCGAGCGCGGGCAAGCACGCGATCGGTGTGATTCTCCAGCATATGTTCTGAAAGGTCGAAGAGCAGTGATCCTGAAGAAAGATACGGAAAAAAAACACTTGGTTTTTGTGACATCAGTCGGTGATTTCTGCGTGGTACCTTATACGCGATACCTTTGTACCTTGATCCTTTCCGACAGATGATTACGATTTTTCTCTGTCGGAGGATATCTTCCACGCGAGTGTACATCGGTTTGGTGTAATGACGTTACCGCGACGAAACGATCGCGCACCGTTTAATAATACGGTGCGTAGATGAAGAACGTGCGTCAATGTGTGTTTTCTGTGCTGGAAAAGAGCAAACGACTGATAATGCGTATTGTCGCGGCGGACTGACGCGCTTACAGGCGCGACAGTGTGAAGAATTGACTGAACGGAGGATTTATATTTGAGTGTGTGCGTTGAGAGAAGAAAAGGAATAAACGGAAATATCGGTGGAAAATTTTGGACAGGTATGTATCGCATATTTTTCACATTCACACATAGTCGTAAATTTACTAGTGTCAGAGAGTCATAGGCGGATTTAGCTTTAAGAAAGAAAATCCCTTTACCCTTTTCCTGAAAAGAGAGTCATGTCTTAAAATTCATCAAAATATATTATTCCCCTATGTATCTCAAATATATATATTCATTCTCACATTTTTTAATTAATACATCTATTGTATATTCTTGATGGAGCGAAAAAAAAAAAATCTTATGCGAGATTTTATTACTCTATTTATCTAATTAATATATTTTTGGAGAAAGAGAATTCAAACTTCTCGTTGCAGATCCGTCTATGATTTTAAGGCTCTTTTCCGTTCACAATGTTACTAAAATATATTCGTTAACGATTTATGAAAGAAATAATAATGCGAAGAAATTTTTAGAAAATTTCAATATGTTTTATTGCATTTTTTAATTCTTTTATTCATCTATATATCTTTTTTATTTGTTTATATTTTTTGATATTTTTAAATGATGCCGCCTTTCCTACAATTTTTATTTATTGCTAAAACTCAATATCTCTTTCCTCATTCAGATATTACATTAGTTTATCTCAAATGGTTATTCGATACGATTAAGTTTCCACTGACATTCGATATAATCCCGCCGGCAAAGATTTTAGGCGTGCCGTGCGAAATTAATCGAACTATCGAAATTATCTCTTCGATTATTTATAACATAATTTTCTGACATAATGTGAATGCCGTATCTTTCGTTTTTCTCACATTTATCGAACGGCCGTTGAGAATCGAGACGTTACACTCTCATAATAAGTTTCAAACATATAATATTATATATGCCGATAGTGCGATCTCTTATTCGAATCATTTCAATAAATAACGTAACAATATCTCTCGTGTGAGAAAGGCCTTTTACTATGCTATTTGTCGAGATGCTTGCCACTTCGACGCTCGATCAATCCCTCGTAATGAAATCGAGTTACGTTTGCGTAACAACGGTCAAGAGTGTCAGAAATTAACAGTAATTCAAACTCATTATTTTAGACTCGAAACCTTTAAAGGGGAAATCAATGCTACACGAGATGTATAATTAGGTGCTTAGAACTTTACAATTACAATGTACAATGTGGCATGCTATATTTGACCTCAAATTCGCAAATGGAAATCGATTGATTCAATCTCACAGTGCTTGCGATTAATAATGCCCGTGATCGCGAACAATTCGACGAACCAGCAGCCGGTGCCGTTACACGAAAAATCGATTCAGACGATTCGCAGCGGTTATGATTAATTTGTCACGACTTAGAGTGAGGGGAGAGGGGGCGCAACAATTTCAAATGTCTGCAGCCAGTACGGTGATATCCATGTGACGTGCCGCTTACAACCGGTTCATTAAAGGTGCAGTCCGCTCGTCACTCATTGGCTGCCACGACTTGGCAGCGATCGAGATGTTCGTACGCCCGCCCGAAAAGAACAGGAGTAAAAAAAAAAAGATTATATACACGGATGATGCTTTTGACGCGAGTGTGTTTCACCTTTCAATCATTATTATTGCGAAGATGAGCAGAGAGGCAGCCGGCCGCCGATCGCGATCACCGCGCGCATCTGTCAAAAGTGGAGAAAAAAATATTGCCGGACAATCGAATTATTAATAGCGGGATAGAGGAGTGGCTTTCGCAAGGCGAGAGGAACCGATAGAAGAAAGGACGAATTAGCAATGACGAAATCAACAACGGCGGGAGATCATTTGAAATCGTTATCGCGGAAATAAATAAGCGTGTTTCGATAGGCATTTCAATAAATTGCCGCGCAAACTTTCGCGGATTGATATATTGGACATCACGGCCGTTCATAAGGGGATATTTCATAAGTTTGGAAAGGTCGAATTTCTCGTATCGGATCCAAGCCGATAATTAATTCAAGATTCTCAAAGTTCCGATCGAATGAACTTTGGATCCGTGATGGAATGCGATTAATACTTTAATGTGACGCGATCGAAACATTGTTCTAAGCGTCAAATGTCAAATCTCGTCGTCACGGTGAATAAATCGCGACCACGACAATTTAATACCTACGCGCGGTACCATTATTTCTCGCGACAGCATTACTAATTACGCTTTAATACCCTAATTATTTCACAAATTAAGCTCATAATCGATTAAGATCAAGTGGGATTTGTAATGAAACTATTCACGCAGTTATTCATTAGCAAATACGCGAGACGAACGCGTCGTGTTCACGTTCTTGTACAAAGAGAAACGATTCTCCTTCTGCCGATTTGTTCAAGGACCGAGGACGCGTCGCGATCCGCGTAAATACCGAGACGTGGAATCCTTACGTTGCCCGATGACAGCTGAAACATATCGGCGATGACGGTGCGCTGATAATAGTTTTAAGAGCGAAGAGGCGTCCTTCGGCATCAGCTAATGAAATATACGCTCGTTAGACGCAACTCGAAAACACAAATAGGAAAAACCCTGATGACATCGATGATCGGTCATCATTGTCGTCGTAACTTCGGAGAACGCGTGATTATCACGAGCGTTACAATTGTGCTAATTTGTGCTTTAATCCGCGCTGATTTGTGCCTTAATCCGCGGAAACAAGGATTTATCGGAGCCGGGGAGCATGGCGGTGATATTCAGGTGGAACCGGTCTTCCGCGAGCATATACGGCTCTTAATTAATTTGTCATTAGTCGACGAAGAGAGATGGCGCGCAATAAAATTTATCGGTGGCCGCAGCATCATCGCGGTCTCTTCTTTTGTCACGAAGACGGCCGATTACGTTGATTTTAATGTACATATGTTTGCGAAAACAGACGCGTTCGTCCGTCGAAAACAATTATTTGCAACGATTTTTTGATTACCGCGCGAATAAGAATCATATCGTTTTTATATGGGATTATTATTCTTAGAGATCACACTTAGAATGTGTATATATAATCCTACGTTAAAAATTATAATGATGAGTTACATAAACAGGAAAATTTTTTCTTAGTTATAAGTACCAATGAGTATTGATTACGTCCTAGATATATATATATATATTATAATAGTCACACTTGTTATGAATTATTATTAAAAGATAAAAAAAAGCATTTCTATTGTTTCGGACATATTAAAGTTCACGCGCACACTTTAGCCTCGAATTATTATCAATCGACAATTAAAGAGTTTTAGTGAATAAAGTTTCATCAATTATGGATTTTATGCTTATTTGCCGATATTCATTAGTATTTCGTATTAAATGTACCAGTTCTCCTTGATACCGCTCCAACTTTGTAATATATTGTGATGTGTTACAACTTGAGCATTAGTATAATCGTGGCGCTATAAATTCGTAGCAATTTAACGCAATCAAATGTGCTTCAATTATAATCCATGAATATTTGAAATCTCGTATATAATCTCTGTTGCTACAGATTCTCGCATATAACGCGATCATGTTGTAAGTATGTATAATACTCCGTGATCGAGTAGATTAACTCGCTGCGGCACCAATTACTGCGTTCCTAATCGTGGCTTTGCGATTGACTAAGAAAATCTCAGTATCCTCAATTAACATTTACTTTCAAATCTCGAAACTAGTCTAATTCTTTAAGCTACAGATCGCGTTATTTCATACACGTCCCATCCGTCATCCTTTGTACCAACTATGTAGAGAGATTTAATTTTCGAATTCTTTTATAATTTGTACGAATATTGATTTCCTCGTATTTACAACATTCGCAATCCCGTTTTGAGTTGCTTCGAGCTAACGCGAGTTTATCCTCAATAAATTGAAATTAAATCTCGGTAATCATATACAGACACATACACACACACAGAAGCATGCACGTTTATACACGTTGGTTGAATTCCCACATGGTGCGCAGGGCGAAAATTAATACGTGGCAGCCTCTGTAATTAGCTCTCGTATTTATGCGTCCCTCGCAGGGCGGGCTGCGTTAACATGGTAATGGCGTTACATCGTTGTAAACACGACATGTTATCTCGAGCGATACATACCTGAGGGCCTCGCGTCCGCCGATCGCGATTTCGGGAAGAGGACTGCGTTCTCTCGCTTTCATGCTCCGCGAACCGCCGCTCGTATTCTGGAATAATTATTATATGCCGCGCGCTGATACGCTGCCTCGCGCGTTTATTCACCGTAAAAATGTCGTTTTAATAGTGGGAGATATCGGTTAGTATATTCTCTTGGTGTTTCTGTTGCGGAAAGGCGGTATCTATGTGTGCTCGACACACTAATATCTTGTCTTATACAATACATTAGTGAATGAATCGCCGAATTTAAATAAGAATATTATAACAATATATAACGACGATATAAAAAATATTCAATCTTATCAATTAGAGAGCAATAATTAATTCCATCCGTATAATGTACAACATTATAAATTATTGATTTTTCTCAAGAATTATTTGCGTTTTCACAGTGACAAGCGCGACGATACGGAAGAAGTGCCAAAATGTTGGCTCGCCACAACAAACGAGAAGACGGCAGGTCGAGTTATAGGCCAGGACGGCTGACACCGAGGGATTAAAGCACGTCGAATGGATGTGGGCGATTTATCGGGCTCGGCAGGATTGATAGGGAGCGGATCCATCTCGGTTGCGACGGGTGTTGGTATTATCGCCAACACGACATCCGCCACCCCAGGGTGGTGGACGCCTACGTCGACAATCACCCCGGCAGCGGCCAACACCGACGTGGTGAGTTTCCTTCTCTTTATATAAATCTCTCACTATTCAATTATTGGCTTCCGCAAAAGTTCGTTTTCCGTCTTCGTATTAAAAATCGAGCAAAAGAGACTTTATATAAATAAAACAAATTATTTTTTATTTAAATTATAATTTGATTATTTAAAATGTTTTTTTAAATGATTTAAAATATGTTTTTTTTAAATGATATATGTGTAATATTATTAGAGAAACGGTGACAATTACCCCACGTACGTGTAATAAATGCCTGTATATTAATAATATAGAATTAATCGTCTTACGTCAGACAATAAAGATTCATACGTCACATGGCATTTATTGTAAATTACGATTTTTTTTTGTTATTCAAATATGATATTTCTGTGGCATTTAATGTTTAATCACGGGTCTTGCGATTCAATTAAATTACGGTGTCTCTCATAAACTGATCGGATTGAAGACACGTATCGCGCGAATTTCTTTTCGTCGTCACTCACTCGACAGTTGATTGGTATTTACATAGGTTGTATTATTCTCATTAAATTGCGCCGTCGCCTGGAATAACGGAATTTAGAGAGCGAACAAAACCCTGAAAAAGAAGAGAAGCGTGTAACTCATTTTTTGTAAAAAAAAAAAGCACATTACGCTATCTCTGCTCGTTATTGAATGTCGTTTGTGGCGACGCTTAATGAGACGATTCTCGCGCGTGGGACGTGGGTGGGCGATGGAAAGGATTCATACCGATGTGTAGCGATGTAGATTATCCGTAAATCGTGCGAGAAGCAACACGACCACGGGAGCAACGCGTTATTTAGCATCGTCGATGTGTGGTGGTCTGTGGCCGCGGGGATTAGAACCGAGGTGACATAGCCGCGTCATCTGTTGGACGTTTAACCTTTTTTGCCTCCTACCTCGGCTTGCACGTCGCTGCTCCTCACCATCATTTCCGCGAGAAATCATCAGCCCGTACCGAGCATACGTTCCTAGATTAATGAGATCGAAAGTCGTTTTCGAATACCTGCGCGTCGCTGTAGGCCGTTTTAGCGTTCACGACGATCGGCAGAAATACGTTCGTCTGTGATATTTATAAAGGTCGTTGCGATGAATTTTATACTGTAAAAAAAAGGGGCGAATAAAAACGAACTTTTATCTTCTCGCACCCACGCGAGATTACACGGTACGCGCATTTAATGATTTATTTTATATGGTGATATACGTCTCGATAATATACAATCAAAATATTTCGCAATTTAAGTCATCATGTGGAAATCTTACCATATATGCATAATTGTTTTCTAATCAAATCGATTCCGTATGCAGTGCAATAAACGTGGGTCCTAAATCCGATCAATTTATTCGATGCATACATTCGCAAATCACGCATTCATTCCGTGTTATATATGTCGGAATTGTAAAGCGCCATTAAATGCAGATAGTTATGATGGAACGAGCGCGTATAAAATGTTAGCCGCGTATAAAAAATATATCTATAAAAATTATTGCTGGTAAAGTGATCACGAGAGACGTCCTAATCTATCCGCGCAACGTTCGTCGAATGAGCGAAAATGAATTCGAGCACGTTCGAACACGGATCCCAAGAATCGAACGCGTTATGCGATCGCCTCCGATTATTCCCGCTCGATTAATTTCTCGTTGCTCTTACGAAAGAGAGCGGTCGTTAACTTAGTTCACCCTTTTCGTGTGGGAATCGAAGCCCGCGCGAATCACATCCTCGCTCTTTTGCCCGCGTACAATCCGCACGCTCACCCGCGTCCACGTACGCTCACGCTACATACGCAGCGTGCACGGTTTTCTCATCTTTGCGTCGCCTTTCTCGCAACGTCTCGCGCATCCAAGCTGAGGATGCGCGGCGGAGCTGTGCAATCTGGTAATGACTGGCTAACTAGGTTTTAATAGGAACGCGCGGTTTCTCGTAGAGAAACCCCTCTCGCCGATCCTCGCATAAACATGGCAAGAAAAGGTCCTTTTTTTCTCCCGCGCGACGTCACCGTCGAGGATCCTCCACATGAAGCAGATGCGCGCGCGCTGATTGCCGATTGCGGATCGCACAATTCGACGAGAGATTGTAATTGAGAATTTTAAGAGATCGAATCCGGGAATATGTTCGATATTCTTGGATAGTCTTACATTGGAATTGATTGGGATAAAAAGCAGGGAAATAAACCCTTTTTTTCGATAAATGAATTATTTTCAATTTAGATCTAATGATGCAAGGAATTAGAATATTTAAATACATATAACGAAGAAGATTCGTCATTTTCAATTTTGAGAATAATATAGATGGCTACTATATACATACGCATAAAATAATATTGTGATAAATTGATAGCGTTGTGATAATGTTTTTAAAAAATACTGTGATGTTAGAGAGATTTTTTTGTAATTTGTTTTATCACATGTGACGTCGCATCACAAACAGTACTTCACAAACGCATATTAGTTTTTCATATTAGTTTTTTACAGCCAAATATAACACAAACATTTGATAAATTTTATGATTCTTTAATCGGCGTTCAAGAAGTTTAGTAATTAATTGATACTTCAAGTAAGTTGACGTCTTATTATCAAATGTAATTTATCATATTTATATATATTAATGAAACATATATTAATGAAAAGAGAATATATAATACATTTTAAATATTTTAAATATTAAAAAATAATTGATGAATGAGTTAATATATCTTCAGTATATTTTTTAAAATAATTTTCACGTTCCTTTTCAGTTACGATTTCATAATAATGCTTTGTACTGAAATAGAAAAATCCAACATATATTACGGCCTATCCCTATCACACAGTGCTCCCCGTTGTTCCGCGTTGAACTTACGTTACGAGAGCGTGCATTAGACCGGGATTGAGAATCCTTTCGTGATTGGCAGACATTGTACGGAAATCAGGCGCGATCGTCGGGCACATTCTGAACGTTCTCGGATCCCGAGCGTAACCACATATCGCATCTTTTTGTTGCAGATGAATCAGCTCTGCAGAGTTTGCGGAGAGCCGGCCGCGGGTTTTCACTTCGGGGCCTTCACGTGCGAAGGCTGCAAGGTCAGTATCTTCGCACTGCTATTCTTCCACGGCTATTCATCCGTGTCGTTATTCTCTGTGTAATAAAACGAAAAAAAGGAAAAGAATAAAAAAAAGAAAGGGACGACCCGTGATTATTACGTTTCTCGCGCGACGGGAGATACTTAAGTCTGAAATTACGTAAATCGCGTAGAATCACACCGAGACAAAGAGTAATAGTATCGCAGACGTGATTGTCTTTTGTAAAACAGACTCTTGCGTCAACAGTCCATGGTGCAAAGATATCCCGGTGCTAAAATCAGTCACCCGTAATTTACCGTTAAATTAAAAGTCGTCACGCGTCGAAATAGTACGTTGTCCGAAGATTTAATTATATCTCGCGAACGCGCTTGCTTCTACTGTAGCTTGTAAACTTTCCGACAGTTGAATCCTAGCTTTTTACTAACAGATAGATGAATGTTTTATTTTGATGCGTTTCTCTGCACATCTGGTACGTAATCAAGCGAAAGTGCAAATCGTTAATCGATTGCCATTCATCAATGTGCGCATCTTTCGCTTTCTGTTGCACAGTCTTTCTTCGGGCGTACTTATAACAATCTGGGCAGCATATCTGAATGCAAGAACGGCGGCGTCTGCGTGATCAACAAGAAGAATCGCACCGCCTGCAAGGCGTGTCGCTTGCGGAAGTGCTTGATGGTGGGCATGTCTAAGTCCGGCTCACGTTATGGTCGGCGTTCCAATTGGTTCAAGATACACTGCCTGCTGCAGGAGCAGTCTCACCAGGCGCAAAATCGCCTAATCAAGGACCCTAAATCCGCGTACGAGAAGGCTTTTGGTTCGTTGGACGCTGCGAATAACAACAATAATAACACCGAAAACGTAAGTAACACCAGCGCTAGCAGCGTCGTCGGCATCGTCACCACGGCGACCACTACGGCGAACAGTTACCATCACCATCTGCACCATCATCATCATCCGGATCGGTTGCCCAAGAGGGAAGAAGGCGCGCTCAGGCCGCCGGATATGCCGGTGCAATTAAGATCGCCAGAGATCCCACCTAGGACCAGCCAGGACGCGATTTTGAGGCCTGGTGATCTTCCGAGGGTTTCGCACGAAATGCTCAGGCCTGAAGTCTCGAGGTTTCCCATGTGGCGGGGCCCGCCGTTGTTCCATCCGGCTCTCACACACATGCAGCTGCTTAACACGCCGTTCTTTCCCTTCCAGCAAGCACGCTTCATGGTACCTTACATGAATCAAATAAGCCCGCCGCAGATGGTGACCAGTTTATCGACCTCATCCAGCGAGAACGTCAGCCCGCGAACAACCCCGTCGCCGACGAAGAGGAACGAGGAAAATCGAGAATGTCGCGAGATCGACCGCGACGCCGGCCAACGAGATCGATGTCTGAGGAGAGGATCGACAGAGATCGCATATGACAAGAGCCTAGCATTTCTGCGATCTCTTGGACCGGAGCAGGAAGAGCCGATGGACCTCAGCATGAAGGACACGCAGACGGATGGGCATGAAATGGATGCTGGTAGTATGGAAGAGGAAGAGGAGGAGAAGTCGAGCGACAGCGAGGACAACGAGCTTCTGCAAGATACCGGACCGCCTTTGGATCTCACACGGAAGACATGACCTCGGATATCAGACGGTGCTCAATAGATGCTTAATAGAAATTTGCGAAGGATTATCGTCGGTGTCGCTCGGAGTTCGCGAGGGCGACATGAAAGAATAATGACGCAATGATGTTGATAAAGAAACGGAAATTCTGGCAAATCGAAGCTTGCCGGCGAAAGGGAAAAAAAATAAACGCTTGAAGGAAAAAATGAAAATGAGCGGGAAAATAACGAAGAAGACGAAGAAGACGAAGAAGAAGCTAGAGAAAGGTGAAGTGAGGTGAAGAAGAGAATGGAGTAGAACGTGCGAGGTGCGGAGGGAGAGTGAGAGAAGGTACAGTTACATCGTAATAACGCGGCGAGCGAGAAGCACGGCCAAGTGTCAAAGGTGCCTTGGCACAAGAAACGAGAAGACGATCCGGGGTGGGGAAGAAGAGTAGCCGAATACGATTAGGTTGGAACAACACGAGGGAAAAGCGGGAGAAGGGGAAGAGAGCGCGGTCGGCCTACATGCCGATGGACAAGAACAAGAAGTGCCGCGCGTAGCCATCCGGCATAAAACGGCTTTATGATCGGTGATCGCCCGATCGATGAAAATTGCTCAAGCCGCTCGGTATTAGTCCCTTTTGCCCAGCCGTATACCGGCGACAGGTGCACGTTGACGGAACGAGTCGTCGGCTCGTGACACGTCTTGTGTCATTGGGGAAACGTACGACGGACGATTGTGCCTTACAAGCGGTGCCTTCTTTGAAAGTGCGCCGATACAAACTATAGTTTAACGTTAAACGCGATATATAACTATTCGCTGTGTATAGCGCGACGACACGCTCGGCGATGGCCAGTGAATGCTTCGCGCGTGTTATCGCGCCTATCAATCGTTCGGTAATGTCCGAGGCCCGAACTTTACTGCTCGATCCGCACACGCGCTCGTTCGCCAAAATGGATTCGGCGAAATGAGTTCGATGTGATAAATCGAACAAGATTGATTCGGGCACCGAATAGATCGTGATTCTACGCGTGAATCTCGAGTACTCTTAACGTAACTTATATTTTTCGAGAGTCTCTTTTTTTCGAATAAACACAAGCGCGGGGAGAGCTATTCCGAAACTCCTTGATCGCGCCGAACGTCCGCGGCGAGATTGCGCTCAAGTACAAAAAAATAAAAAAAGAAAGAGATGCATATGGAAGATGTGGCAGCCACGACGCGGGCATCGTTTAAATGTCCGAGTCGAGAGTGCGAGGTGAAATAAAGAATATTATATACCTGAATGTAACGCTGTTCATTAAATCCCTTCACACATGCTCATCGATCTTCCATCTTTCACGTGGGTACGTATACCGTTCCAAACTCGAGATGGTATTCGATTACTTTCGTCTCGCGCGTCTTTCAACGTTTCTCGTCGCGCCGCTACGAAAGCGCGCGTTATAATATTATTACACATGCGCGCGTAAACGCGTATTATCGTACGTGCAATGTTATTTATCTAGCAATAAATTTGCCCGTCTTGATATACTACGCAAAAAACGTATCTTCCCGATAGTTTCACGCCGACGCGACGCGATGCTTCGGGGAAGAATGATGCGATTCCCGTCTCGAGAGTCGAGGACGTCGAAAACGTTTGACAATAAATTTTCTTAAAAGTTCAGCAATAAACACGCGAGTATATCGATCGTAAGGTTTCTCCTCCTAAGGTCGTTTGACCGGGTCAGCCGGAGCTCCTTTCCGCGCGCGAGAAAAACTTTCGGAGAAGACGGCCGCGAAACGCGCCGCTTGACGAGCGAGCGAGCGACGTACTCGGAAGTGCGTGCTTTATTGCTAATTAAGTTACACTCTTCGAGAAAATCAAGGTGGGTTCCCGTCACCGCGTAATACCTTAGCGCGCTGGTCCCGATAATTTATGAATATTTACGTCGCTGGCAAGATCCGTGCTGAATCTTCGAGGAGAGATCACGACACCGGAATTCACGTTTCGCGACACGACTCGATCATAGAGATTTGTCTTACAGGAAAGTTTTTACCTGTGTTAGACAGAGGCTTCTGCCTCTATGGCCTCTTTTATAAGTATGCTAACGCGTTCTTCACCGATGTGCTATTATTAGCGATTTCATGATGACATTATAACTTATGGTATCTTAAATGTGCCTTATTAAAGGATATGAATTTTTTGATTATGCAAATATAATTTCTAAATTATATTGGTTTTTCAGCGAAAGTATGCTTACACCGAATTATACAAACATTGAAAATTTTGAATTTCAACAAACTATTGAAAACAGTAGGATATTCATATCTATTTAAAATTTATGCATGGTCTCTTCACGAGTACTTGCAAGGATATTTCAAAGTTAGAATAGGACGTAATATGTCTGGTAACAGGGATTGTGCAACGCGAGACGTGCAAGTTCGCAAAATCATGTAAAGTTTGCCGCGCGCGAATCCCGACACGAGTTCTCTGTCAATATTCTCAGGAACAAAATGGCCTTCCCTCTCAAATAACGCTTCGTACATATTGCGAGCATGTTTTCGCATATATTTAACGAAAGAACAGACGATTTATGTCTCTCGTCGCGCAGGATAATTAGTATCGAATTCATGAATTGTTTGATGCGATTCTCGAAGTATATGTGCATGATTTCTAACTTAATTACATATTTCAAAGTGTTTTTACATTGTACCGTAGATGAAATAACTTTAATTATACTTTACTTTGCAATTCACATGCCATCAAATTTCTAAATATTTCACACGAAAGCATACAATCTTGATAAACCTAAATATAATATGTATAATCGTCCAAATGCTCGCGCTTCGGTCAATAATAAATTTTACAATATGAGAGAGAGAGAGAGAGAGAGAGAGTAGTCGCTTTTAATTTAACGAGCATTTTTATTCTTATCACGGGCATTTAGTTTGACCCTTTAATTCGCGCTATTACATTAGATTAAATCCTCAACAAATCTTTATGTTACATACGTGATATTAACGCAATAATTCCCATGACAGATATAATCATTATCATTACGCACTTAATTACACCGAATGCAAAAAAGGCTGAGAGTTATCATTATCACGAGATTCTTTCGTCGTGATATGGAACGAAAGCAAACCAGATCGGACTCGTCAATGAACTATTGACTATTTCAAAAATAGTTGCTCCATGAAAATCACATTTCCGATTTTCTCAGAATTTTTCCAACGGCGGTCACACAAGAGGTGTTCATTTGCGTGCACCTGCGTGCGTGTGTTCACGCGACACTCTCATACCCGTAATGCCGCGACAGTAAAATACCGAGCTGAGTCCGTTTGTTGACTTAGGTGGGACAAGAGAGGCCACTCGATGTCCATCGCGCGGGCATTTCCTGTCGAACTCGATTCAGACATTCTGAGGGACGGGGCATAAGAAAATGTCGATGCACAATATATCTCTCGCGCACGTGGCTATTTCAAATTCCATCAAAACTCGGCACGCGATTCCCGATATCTAAGCATTCTTCATCTCGAAGTACATATTATATTATGCTTTGCGGTAGCTTGCACATATATAACATTAAAAAGAAAAATTATATTCTTTTTGTTTAGTATTTTTAAGACTTACAATCAAAATAGCGAGACAATTACAAAGAATTAAAATAGATAAGATTGCAATAAAAAAAAACAGTAGGTGAGGTATAATTATATTGTTAAAATTGTTTAATCTCAAAACTATCTCGATTATTTATTTTCAACGTTGCATACTGATTTCAATAGGAATCCATATACCATGAAAATACATATCTTTATATGGTTTAAAATTTCCTCCATCTTACTCAATTTACATTTAGCAAGTTTAAGATAATAGCAAAAAATAAAAAGAAGAAGAAATAGCTATGTAACTGCAAAAAATGAAAAGAAGGAGAAATAGTTACGTTGTAGGTGATAAAGTAATGTGTATATCATATGTTGAATGGATAATCAGAATTTGTCAAGACATTCAAGGCGTATCTCGTATCAGGAAGATTTAGAAAAGTACAGACGATCGATCGGTTTAATACTTATAATATCGAAAAGGACGCAAAGTGCACGTGTAAATCATTAATCACGTTTATCGAACTAATGTTGTCGAAGAATTCGATCGTTTAATCATCTTGACACCTTGTCGAACGTGATACTCAAGGATATCCGTTATTCAATCATCCTTAAAGTCGTGTTAATTCCTGCCTTGACTTTTTTATAAATTCTCGATTCATTTCATGTTGAAACATCATTTTATTCATACATATTTTTTATGCACTTTCCTTGCTGCTATTGATCATCTTAAAAATGCCTTTATACGCGTTGAAAAGACATTTTTGCTTTATTAAATATAATAGCTTACGATGATAATGCATTCAACGCAAAGATCAACGTTAATGTCACCGTTTGTATTTCCACCTGCAATTTTTTATTCTCGAAACTGTCTAAATTCCGCGTCTCAATTATTATTGAATATATAACAATTTTTTATGCCATACATCATGCGAATCATAAATATTTTTCACATATTTTTTTATCGATTATTTATTGGTTGCTGATGCGTGCAATGACATTATAAATTATTTATTCATCTATTAACCCATTTATTTTCGTACGAGATGCCTCTGTCTTTCCACATGTTAATGAAATAAAGCCGCAGTTTAATTACCTTTGACAGCGCACGTTGTCGTATTGTGGAGCGTGCTGGTATATTCTACGTGTCTTAAAATTTAGGCTCATCTTAATAACTCTCGCTCCTCTCTCTTGCATTATATCAGTTGAGCACATCTTTTGTCGCGCGAATTCTTTTTAGCGGCGTACCGTTTTATTACCGCGAGAACGACGGCAGCGACGAGCCATCTGCGATTCTGCCGGATTGTCTCTTCCCATTCGCACTTGCTCGAGTAATCAGGGTGTTACTAGCTCGTGAAAAAAAATATAGACCCTGTCTCGAGGTCACATATCGTGCCATGTCGCCGGACAGCTAAAAATCGCGACCACGTCATCGCGCGATCATTCGGAAGAAAGAGACGCATCTGATTTTTTTATGGCCGCCACTCGAGAACCGTTCGATCTCCGCGAGACGTCTCTCAGATTACGAGCATAATGGCGATGTGTTTGTCCATCGCCGAGCGTTCTCTTTTTTTTCCCCCTTTCGTCTCGCGTCTCCTAGATGGATTACGTAAATCTCGACGAGGAAACTGTACGATCGTCATCCGTCTTGTCATAAATTAATAAAGTTCTCTTTTTCTTTCCTCTTCTGAGAGCGAAAAAAAAGAGTGAGAAATCGAAAAATGCGGTAACCGGAAAGAAGCGATAGACAGACAGATACAGTGGGAGAGAAGGGGGAGGGG